AAAATGAGATGTGTGCATCAACATCATTGCACAAATGACGTGGTGTATTTGGGACATAATACCTGGCACAAGAACGTAAACTGTATAATTTGCATAGTGTGTGGGCCATCATTTGTCTCTTCCTCGCCCCTAACAATATATAGAATTGTGCCATTGAAATGGGTAATTTAGAGTCCAGTTCCCTGATTGGTATAGCAATTCACATTATATCATTCCATACAGACATCTCTATAGCATTTAACTGAATCCGTTGAACTTGCTACCTCTCTGGATAATTGGTTTCATCATCAAGTTCTTTCTATTATCAACCAATTGCTAAAATTCAGTTGAAATCTGCCTTCCCATAACTTAAACCCACTACTCCATGTCCTGCACACTAGAACAAAGGAGAGCAGATCTTGACATCAGGACCTTCACAGAACTCCTTTCTCTTCACAGGATCTTCATTTCTTGTCTCCTGATTGACCTCACCATCCTATTCTGAACCTGTTCTCATTTTTCTAAATTGGTACCCAAAAGTCAACAGAGCATTTGAGTTAGCGCTGAATAAAGCAGGATGGGATGGAACAATTGCTTACTTTAAGTTTGCAATCAACAACTAAGAATTCTTTCAGAGGTATTATTACCAAACTACTTTGTCCACCAAACTATAACTTAAACACCTGAGTTTTGTTATGTCTTTTTAACTTTAAAAAGTTGCATTTATCTATTAAACTGTCTAATATTCAATTTATGATCTAACAAAATACCCAATAGTTCCCTGTACTACTGCCAAGTGAAGTCTCTCTATACTATACTGAGCCTTTTTTTTTTCCTTTTAAGAGGTAGAATTTTACATTTGTGCCTGCTGGCTTTCACGGCTAAGGCAAGACTAGAACTCACAATCTCCCTCTTTCTAGCCTGGTGCCTTAAACACTAGACCAGTGTTTCTCAACCTTGACAATTTTAAGGCACGTGGACGTCCACATGCCTTAAAATTGTCAAGGTTGAGAAACACTGCACTAGACCAAACTGGCTCTTAAAGCAAGATCATAATTTGTTTCTCTCAAAGGATGAATGGCAACTTTAGAAATGATGACAAAGGAGAGAATAAAAAGCCTCCTTCGAGCCGGAATCGAACCAGCGACCTAAGGATTTCAGTACAAGCAACTCTACAGTCCTCCGCTCTACCAGCTGAGCTATCGAAGGGATATTTTTTTTTTCAAATTCTCTCTCTCTTCTAAAGAATTAGCCACTCCTCCTAGTTTTGCATTATTCACAAATCTGGTAATTACTTCCCCAATCTTTCCATCCAGGTCATTAATAAAAATCTTGAACAGCAAGGGCTAAGACAGAACCCCCTGTGGTAGTCCACTTAGCACTATTCTCAGACTAATACTGAGATATTCAGAAGTACTGTTTTATGTTGTATAATCCAGCTCATATTTTACCATTTTATTAATCTACATATGATGACTTTATCAAATTCATTGCTGAGATTATGTCTACAGCATTCCCCTGATCTATTAAGCTGGTAATTCTGTAAAAAAAAAAAGAGGCAAGGTTAATCTAGCATAATTTACTCATAATAAAAGCCGTGCTGGCTCTTCTAACTGTGACATTCTAAACCAACTGATCACAAATACATTGTTCAATAATCTTTCCCAAAAAACCTGCCCAAGATGTTCAATATTTCCCAGATCTCCTTTCCCTTTTTTCTGGATTAGAACAATATTTATCTCCTTGTAGTCTTCAGGGGCATTGCCAGATTATAGTTAGTGGTTTTGATAATTTTTTCCAATACTCTGATTGTAAGATTTGAATTCATGTTGTCTTTGTGCAGTGGTCTCTGTGTAACTCCTTACATTTTAACAGATTTCCTCTTAATAAGCTTACTTTTCAAGATAACAAAACAAGTAAGATGTGTTCCGATTGCACCCGTCCCCATCTTAATGCACAAAAAGCATATTTTTTTACTTCCACGGGCACAGGGTGAGTTTTCCTTCCTGTCCTTCTCCAGTTCCGTGCCACTGCTCTTCCTCCCCCCAGTCTGCTCAATCCAAAGCATGTTGAAAGATCAAAAGATTCAGCATAAGAATCACTAAGGAAAGGATTTTGGTGAAATATATGTATGCATTACCAAAGCTTCAGTCCCATTAAGTGGAAGGTTGGTTCTAAATATTTTTATGGTAATGTTTTCCATGTAATATGGTCCAAATGTGTAGGAAATGACAAAATGCCAACATTCTATTTCAATCAGACGAAGAAAATCAGAAGAATTTCAAACTTGTGTGGAAACTATATTGCTGCAAGCCACAGCAGTCCTTTAATTGGTTCCCTGAAAGTCAGGCTACTCAGTATTATTCAGGATGATCAACGTCCATTTGTCCTTTGACTGTGGGAAGGCAACTGCTTTACTTCTGACATAGCTTCCTGATGGGTCAAAGGTCAGTTACTCTATTCAAGGCTCCCAACCGTCTTTTCCTCCCTGCCCCATTTATTAAAAAATAAACAGTTTATTTTGATGCAGGATAAAGAATACATCATTAATTTTAAGTATAAAACAGCTATTTTTTCAGTAATTCTTTTTACTGAGTTAATTTACGTGTAAGGAAAGAGCAGATAATTTATAAATTAAAAATACCATATAATATGCATTTAGAATATCAAACAAGGGAAGCCACTCACACAGTCACTTTCCTTGCTAGTACTGTTGCAGCCTCAAAGAAATTAAGTTTGGGAACTAAAGACAAGAGATGGGACAATAGATTTGCCCTGCAACTCAAGTTTTGAGTAAGATTTTGATCAGGTTTTTTTCCCCAAAATGTAAAACAAAATTAAGACACAAAAGGAAAACAATTACATTTTGAGAAATAAATATAAACATGTATTCTAGAATTCTGGACTGATTTGTATATTTACATATGTAAAAGTAACCATGCTAGATAGAACCATCCTTCTATCTTTTACAAGATTGAAAGAAATTCTTCAAACTGAGCTGGAGATGAAACGTGTTATTTTAAATATCATATTTAACGTATGCAGAAATTACCTGGAATAAAAATACTTCCCTGTAAAAGTCATTACTTTGAAAGCCTATTCTGACATACAGCAAGGCTTTGTTTCTACAATATCCATCAAATAACTACAGGGAGAAAAAGTAGGAAGAACCAGGTTGTCAGAAGGATCAATGAGTTTTGTTGGGTTTGCAGATAGAGGTGAAGGGCCTGAACTAATGACCTGCATTATGCCTCACAGACACAGTTTAGCACTGCACAATACTTTAGAGAATGTCTGGCGCAAATTCTGAATTTATTCTGAAGAAAATAATCACAAAGCTTCCGGGGGGGGGGGGGGGGGAGAAGTGGTGATTCTACAGGTTACATTTTATCTTTTAAGTACGTTGTTTTACAGCAGTTTAAATTAGGAAAACGCTTCTAAAAATAGACAAATAGGTCAACATTTTTTAATTACGCAATTATAACACAGTCATTAAGCAAAGGTTGACAAGACAACCCACAAAACTGGTTTTGAAAGAGGATCAGGCAATTTTGCAGGCAGATGTCAGTGGCTCTTTGCTACTCCTTCAGCTGGAACCTTGTAAGCCACATTCATTTGTTCCTGGAATGTACTGTTTTCTGACAGAATCCTAAATTTTCTTTCCATTTACTTTTGCCATTCACTTTGAATCAGCTGCACCTCTTGAATCCGAGATACTTTCCCCATCTACCGCTCTAAAATCTGTTACAAATTTTTTGCTTTCTCTCCTCTCTCTCTCCCACCTTTCAAACATGCTGCCAAACCAAGTTAGAAAAAAAAACTTTTTTTAAGAGCTGGGAACAATGTTACCACAGGGTGCCAAATTTGCAGTGAAAGCCCCAAAGGCTGTTGTCACGCAACGTTTGACAAGGCTCGCCAAATGGTTTCTTTAGGATATAAATGGCTTGTGAAGTGACTGAGGCCTTTGTATCTACAGCTGAATGCTGCAGATGGGAACGTTTCTGCCAAGAATGAATAACTGCTGTTTCTGCCATGTGAGGTTTTACACACATAATTAAGGAACGCACTCCTATGTATCTAGCAGTATTTTCCTGCTTGGGAGCTGGGCTGGGTAGGTTTCTCCCTCTCAAGGGACCAAAAAGGTTGGTTTTCTGAAACAACGGACAGCTAAAAATGCAACATGCAATTAATCGAAGTACATTATTGTGCAACCTTATTATACCAGACATCCTTCAACATTTTTGCCAAGGAAATAATACGGTGCTTAAGAAGTATGGTTGGCAAGTCAGAGCACAGAGCAAATGGCTAACTTCAGCATCCCCACCACAAATTGTGCCTGGTCACTTTGAATTCCGAGTTTTATTCTGTCAACACATCTTAAAAGTTTCTGGCGCATTTAAAAAAGTGCACTACCTTAGAAAACACACTGTGGTAACTGCACAAAGAATATCCTTTCAGTATCTCATGCTCCAGATTAATACTCCCAACCTGAAGACTTACATCATATATTTGCTGGATTTTATTACTTTTATTGTATAAAATCAGTAAGCCTTGAACTTAACACAAAATACTTCCAGCAGGATGCATAAATTACCCAGACAGAATTAAGCTGCAATATAATTCTCTTCTGAGAATTCTGAAGGAGAATATTATTTGTTTTAAATAGTTTTCTCCATGTTTGTCATTTGATAATGAATTCCAGACCTAACTTTCAATAAATTGACTTTATTTTAATAGCCTAGCTCTAACATTTCTCTGCTTCTTGGCCTCTGACGGTGCAGTTCTGTATTTGCCTGGACAAAAAGCACCCCTCGTTCTCAGTTAAGTCAGGACAGGCCAGATCCTTTTAAAGCGACATACAAACTCTATTGTTGGAGTTGGGGCTTTTTTCCCCCCTCCCATCCTTTTCAGAAACTATCTCTGGTAATGCAATGTTTCCAAAAAGTAGGAAAACAAATCAAGATGTTTTCTCTGGAACAGAATGTATTCTTACCACAGTTGTCTGGAAAATTCTCAGTTACCTCAATTTTGTCAGTCTTTGCATCTCCCCAATAAAGTTTGTTTTCTTCAAGATCCAATGCCAAACCATTAGGCCATCCTAGAGAAGTATTCACCAGCACTTTCCTCTCAGACCCATCCAGATAAGCAGACTCAATCTTCGGATTTTCACCCCAGTCTGTCCAATACATATACCTTTTGCGGAAGGAGAAGAAGTGTTATTTTTACATGCAAGTATTTATCAGCTATATTATTGCATTTTTAAAGCGTGCCTTTCGGCAAGAAGCTTTTCCATGAACTGGCACTAAAGAGAAAGATTCATTCAAAGATTTCAGAGCTTGCAAGATATAGAAAGGGATAATAATATCATACGGAAAAATACTTTAAATGATGAAGGAATTTTTTTACCTAAAAATCATGGGCCTAGAATAAATAGACTGATGGTTGTATATTCCAAATTTACTAAATACCAATAAAAATATGCAGTTGGGAAAACATATTCTGTTACACCACCACTGGAACATGGTATGGAGAAACAGGTAACATTTTTAAAGTACAAGTGGTTCTCGACTTAGTTACAACAGCCTTGGAAAAAGTGATTTATTACCTTCATTCACACTTACACCCATCACACCACCCCTACGGTCACATGATCACAATTTGAGTTCTTGGCAACTGTTCTGGGTGGTGTGATCATTTTTAGCTGATTTCCAGGGGGGGCATGCTCATTGGGGATGCTGGAGTTGCTTAATGATCATATGATTTGTTTAATAACCACAGTGATTTGCTTAACAACCATTGTAAAAAAAAATGCTGTAAAATTGGGTCTGACTTATGACTGCAACAATTTAAATGTAAATTTCAGTCCCAATTGTGGTTGTTACGTTGAGCAATAGCAATAGCACTTAGACGCATATACCACTTTACACTGCTTTACAGCCCTCTCTAAGTGGTTTGCAGGGTTGGTATATTGGCCCCAACAATCTGGGTCCTCATTTTACCCACCTTGGAAGGATGGAAGGCTGAGTCAACCGTGAGCCGGTGACAGTCGAACTTCTGGCAGTCGGCAGAGTTAGCCTGCAATTATACTGCATTCTAACCACGGCTCTACAAAGACTACCTGTGACATGTTCCATAGCACAGACATGCAAAGGCAGAGCAACCACCATAGTTTTTTAAGACTGAACAAATACTCGCAAAACTTACCCCATCACAGGATTGAGCACTATTGCTCTAGGTTCATCTAGGTTTTCTGAAATAAGGATCCTTCTTGACGTCCCATTCAAACGTGTAACTTCAATCCGATCTGTACCAGTATCAGTCCAATACAAATTCCTACCCACCCAATCTACTGCAATGCCATCAGGATGATTTATCTCTGTTGTTACTAGAGTCTGGGCTCCAGATCCATCAAGAAATGCCCGGCGAATAGCTCTGACATCATCATCTGTCCAATATATGTAGCCCTCAACAGGGTCATAGTCAATTGCAATAGCATGCCTAATGTTGTCTATTTGCAGAATAACATCTGTGAAGTCCGGCATGTCCAGGGAAATTCTTCGTAGATCCGTTCTTCTAGCGAGCAAGAGGACTTCCTCAGCACCTAGGAAAAAGTGATAATCAGTAAACTACCAATAAACAGTTCGTTCCTTGTGCCATGTAGTTAAATTGTTGCTAGTTCTAGTTTTCCGATTAACTTTACATTATGAAATGTATGGATTGCATAGAAAAAGGCAATGTGATCGTGAAGGAAGATCAAAAAATTTTCTCCAATGGCAATAATGTAATAGTAATTTTTGGTTCTACTGAAACAAACTAGAAATATACATTTCCTAAGTACAACTCCTATATGAAGACACTGCTTACAGTGTCTTCAAAGTGATGCTCTCTGGGACTTTTGTCCATCTGAGATATCATCGTGACAGCAAGTCATGCGATTCCTGGTCTTACAGTTCACAGGAACAATCATAGCGATCCCAATCACCCATTGCAATGCATATCCAATTGTGCAAAATGCACCAGGCAAATGCAGCACTCATATTTATATGTCCAAAAAGCAAGAAAGGACTGGGTAAGATAATGGAAAAGATGAACTGGAAGACACGGGTGCGCAAACACAGCTGCTTGAGGTGCCAATCTGTTTTGGATGCACCAGATATTTCTGGTGTAGTCATCCAGGGTATGAATTCAAATAACCTTTTTCTGTCCTTCTTCTGAGGAATTAACATATGATAGATATGCCTCTACTGAGGTTATGAGCCATTAATTCACATTTTGCAATCCTCCTAAAGTCAAGCAGCAAAAGAAGACAGTACTCTGAGTCATCAAATTCTTTAAAAATACTACATGCATTGTTCTGAAGGCTGTGTTCTTTGAGCATGATGCAAACCTCTAATGCCTTCAGTGCCTGTTTCTTGTATTATATTTCTTCTTCTAACTAAATCCCAAACAGTAGCCATAAGACAGAAACTTCTAATATTCTTATGAGAGTGAACAGAACTGTGTATAATAGTTCATTGTAGATCTGTATAAGAGCATTGATAATAGCCACTGTAATCCTAATATTCTCTTTAAAATGCATTTTTTAATGTCATGTGTCAAGATGACATCTTTAGTGAACTACTGACCATGGCCAAGCTCTCAGAGAATAGGAAATAGCTATTAGACAAAGTAAGCTTAAAATGTTGAACAAAGTTGCAGACCGTTGCTAAAACGAGAATCAAAGCTCAATTTCAGTCTAGATCATTACTTGTAGTTGACTATTCAGGATAATTGGCTATGTATCTGAATTTCCTTTCCATCCCACCTTTTTTTATTTTTGACAGCCTAGAATATTTGAGGACTCATACGTTTAATGACATCTGAGTTGTACTGATATTCTACTATCAAGACAAAATAAACAATACAATTTTAAACAGTGAGAGTGGGATCTGTAGCTATTAAATGGTGTAACTTCTTACCTATTAAGTTACACCATATAATAGCTACAGATCCCACTCTTATTAAAATAAATAAAAAGATGCATGGGAAAATGTTTCAAGAAATAGTTTTAAAATGTTTGCCTTTTTTTGCTAGTACTGGGCACAAATATTCACAGTGAAAGGATTTTTACGAACCTGAAGGAAAATATTACTGCTATGTGAGAAAAACACCTTCACAAAGCACTTTCAGAACCTGCTCTTCAAAGTGTCAGAGTATTGTGCCCTCTCAAATGCTTGGCCTGGTTCTGACATCTTTAAACCGTTCGTATCTGGTTTTACTTGTCCCCATTTCATGCACTCCTTCCAGGTAGGTTCCAGAGAACATCCTCTTTAAATGCACAAGAAAAGCATCACCTACATCTTGGTTCAGTTCCCTTTTTTCCAAACAACACTTTTTTCCTACCCTGAAGCCTCTTAACTGGTTGCCAGAATGCTGCTTTTTTGGGTTATGGCTGTCCTTATTATGACAGACAATATACTTCAGAGCACATGGACAGATTCCACATCTGAATGTTTCTGAAGGAGATATGAATTGCAAGCAAGAATTGCCTCTGCCTCTCTCTCTCTCTCTCTCTCCCTGCCTAGTTTAAGCTCTCCTGCTCCCTGTTCAGTCATTTTTCTACTTAGAGATGAGCATTAAAGATGCAATTTAGCTATCTGCATATTTGGACTGGTGCAGTTAACTCTCTTCAAGTTATATCATTGTTTTGTATGGATAGATCAAACCTCAGCCCATTAACTCCATATTCATAAAAGAAATGAAGAACCAATCTTGGGCTGAATCCAATGTCCTGTTTTATGCTGCACTGTGTAATTTTTTTAGTAAGCCACTTTCTTCCGCAATAGTTTCATAAGCTCTTCAAATGAAACACTCTTATAATTAATAGTTTATTAAGGATAGTTGCATGTAGCATTTCAGTTTCCCATTGACAGTTTGAAGGATTCAAGATTGTAAACAGGATTACCAACATGGTACTTGTCTGCATCATCTTGAAGGCATGTCTTTTCCTGGGATTACCTGCCAGATTGTTTTTAGGAAAGGGTGCAACTATATTAAAACATTTTAACAGCAATTTTACTAAACACTATAATTAAAAGAAAGAACTAATGCAAACTAAAATAAAAGAAAAGAAAAGAATAATAGAAAGCACAGTAAAGGGAAAAATAGAAGGGAAAAGAATAATATAGCAAAGAAAAAGAAAAGAAATATATAAAGAAATGACTTTCCCCCTTCATAACGATAAATATAAATCTAGTATAGGAAAGTTGCCCAGGTAACTGTTTTACTTTTAATTATTAAAACATCAGGCTATGGGTTGCTGAAGAGCAAGGAAGTGAGGACTGGCAGGAGAGGGAACAGATTTAAAAAGGATCAAATGGACCTGATGAACTTGCTCCAACCATCAACAAATTGAAGCCCCTAACCTATGGTCATACACTTACCCCAGTAGTACCCAGGAGTGGGTTTTGAATTAAGAAAACATGGGTAAGAATACAGCCTAATTGCTGGTTAAGAAATGTGTTCAATACTCTCTAAAATGCAATGGAGGAATGTGGAATTTATAGCCCACATACCAGATAACGGCTGCCAAGTTCCTTTTACAGACCCTGGGCTGTCTGCACTGCCTAAAATATCCCCCGGCTGTGCCATGGCCACCTAAGCTCTGTAAAGTTGAGTATAATCTCATAACTTTGTAAAGTCCAGGTGGCTCAACCAAACCAACAACAGCATCACTGTTGCTATGACAGAGAGACATCAAGACCTCACAAGGAGAAACACAACTGTCCTGAGCAGCGAATGAAATCCTGAAAAATTGTTTTGCCATAAAACAAGACTGGTTTATGATGCAGGTTTTGAGGAATGGGTATCATTCCTTCCTCCCCCCCTCCCTCTCTCCAAAAGTCAAAAGTCTAATTTGAAGGAAAAATATTTTCCAATTACCTGTTTGCAATTTTCAGTGGACCAGACAGATGGTGCTTTATTTAACTATGGGTAGCAGAATGGCTCAAATGAATACATATCCAACATCAGGGGACTGCTCAGTTTTTAAAAATGTATTTAAATAAAAAAGCAGGCAGCATGCCAATTCTTCAGGTTAAGTTTTCTTCTTCTTTTAGCTCCATGATTCTATATTTATGCCCATTGGCATTTAAATGATGACCTTGCCTTGTTAAGAGCCAGCAAGTATTGTTACACTATTTGCAAGTGATTAAACTCTGGCATAGCTGCTATTCATACATTCGGTTTCATTTGAATAGGATGTGGGGCACAATCTTAATTCACTTAATTCATCCACCCTACTAAGCTGTGACTTGCTAAACTATGGTTTGCTGAATGTACCACAATTAACTAGATTCACACAGTATTAGCTAATAATCTCAACTCCTGGATATTTGTCCGTGTAGACTTTATGGCCACAAGATGGCCTGGTGGTCTATAGCAGGGCTTTTTAACCAGTGGTACGGGTGCCACCTGTGGTACATTGGCACCTGGCAGGTGGTACGCGACCATCCTAGAAAAGTGGTAGCGGGGGAGGGGAATGAGAGCACTGCCGGGCGGGCAGGCAGGTGTCTTGCTTGGCTGTGCCTTGGGGGGCACTTTTTCAGTGCCATTGTAACTTCAAACAGTCACTAAGTGAACTGTTGTAAGTCGAGGACTACCTGTACTTTATCGCTTTTTTCCTTTTGGGGGGGTCATCAAGTTTTTGACACCTTGCTAGGCGACTGGTGGTACTTGGATATTGCCATATCCTAAAAGTGGTACAATGGGTGAAAAGGTTGAAAAGCCCTGGTCTATAGTCTCGAACTGTCTTAACTTTCTAGGGCCAGTTGATTCCCATCATTAAGTCAAACCAAACAAACTACATTATTAATAAACTGCCCAGCTCTGGTGTCCTATTTAAACATACTTAAAAACATCTTTCTAAGATGGGTTGCAAATATGCCACACTGTTGAATTAATCAGTTTTCATTGAACACAAATTTAGCCAAGAAAACAGTAGTAGAAAGAGAGAGATATGAACTGAATAAATAACAGAATAACAGAGTTGGAAAGGACTGGAGGTCTTCTAGTCCAACCCCCTGATAAAGCAGGAAGCCCTATACCATTTCAGACAAACGGCTGCCCAGTCTCTTCTTAAAAGCCTCCAGTGATGAAGCATCCACAACTTCTGAATTGAAGCCATTCTACTAGTTAATTGTTTTCATTGTTAGGAAATTTCACCTTAGTTCTAGGCTGCTTCTCTTCTTGATTAATTTCTATCCATTTTTTCCTGTCTTCTCTTCTGGTGCTTTGGAAAATAGGTTGACCAGCCTTTTCTTTGTGGCAGCCCCTCAAATATTGAAACACTGTCTCCTGTACAGTAGTGATGGAAACTAAACAAGGAGAGAAGCAACCTAGAACTAAGGTGAAATTTCCTAACAGTGAGAAATATTGCATTCAGTTTTGGTCACCACAATATAAATAGATGTTGAGACTCTGGAAAAAGTACAGAGAAGAGCAACAAAGATGATTAGGTGGCTGGATGCTAAAACATGAAGAATGGTTGCAGGATTTGGGTATGTCTAGTCTCCTTCTTTTCACTATACATACCAAATCCTGCAACCTTTCTTCTTATGTTTT